TTCTTATCTGTTAAACGTAGTTACAGTTAACTGTCTCTCTACAACTTTTCACCAAACGGTAAAAATCATTATAAATGAATGTCAACACTGAGTTGGTGTTCAGTTCAGTTTTGGAACATTCTATCATTTATAACCTTACATATAAAGCTCTTGTAATAAATATGGTATGATACAGCCAATTATTCAGTATTCAAAATTGGACTCTTTGTTTAGTGGTACCTGCTTTTTGTAGTTGTTTTTTTTGTGACTGTTTGGTATCATCCGGAGAATCAATGAAGATTATAGAACTGATAGTTATTTAATGCTTGTAAAGGACTCCTATAGATTACATTACATTAGTTTGTGCGGATAAAATTTCTGATCTTAAGTTCTTACAGCGAGGTAAACATTTTTTGCTCATTAAGTCAGTATATTTTTGCTCTGAAATTTCAATATCATTTGTTTTCAAATAATTCTCTTCCCAATAATATTGGGTTAGAATTACGTCGTGTCACAAACGATCTAATGTTGAAAAAGGTAAACTATTGGATTACGAGTTATTATTCAAGTGGTATCGTGTTCACTACAAAAACTGAAGGTTTTAGGTGTGATTAGTCAGCTGCTTAATGTTTCTCGACCTTCAATAGTTTTCCAGTTGCTGTTAATCCATAATGAACGCGATCTTCAAACCGGCTGCATTCTAAACCTTCTTATTTAATGTAAATTTTGGACTACTCTCACTTGTAGTATCCTAAAATTGTGCAGAAAAACACATTTCCTTTTATATGGGCATCTATTATGAAATAACCTTTATCTAATGTCTACCAAATAAACTTGTACTTCTGTTTATTACTGTTTTCCTAATTACTATTTCAATGTTAAATATATGAAGGGGGTATATTGTGATCATGTTTCTCATGTTATTAATTCTTATAATGTCAATTTGCAGATCTACGAAATAAACATAAACTAAACAGTAGGGCATCATATTGCATATGTATGAAATCTTGATGATTGTGGGTCATATTCTTTTTTTCTCTTCATAATACTACATTAATAACCGAGGGCAAAATAATTATTACTTCGATGTACTATTAAATTATTGAAAGGTTAAAAAAAACTGGACTTTTACGATAAGAATCAATTTTTCCTTTTCTTCATATTATTCAAAGAAAGCTTTTGTAAAACTTTATAGTGTAGGGATTGTAGAGATAATTGAATATCGTTGTTTTACGTGACGGATTGGCTTTAGTTAGATAATCGTTAACAACCATGATGCATTAGACAGATGGCTCATTATAGTATTGGATTCCTCAGTAGTTCGTCTCCTCGACTCCTTTAGAGATCGATTCCAAGACCTCCAGACCTTGTGTGGGCGCTTACTCTACAAATGCTGAATTGTCACCCAATGGTTTGCATTTTTAATTCAATTTATTTCTCAGTAGGACGAAACAGGTGTCCAGTACCTCCTGGTTGTCAATGGCGTTTTAACTAACGTCTGTCCTTTAAGTAAGACTACAAAATAAATTTCATGCTTCGGTAGCATAGGTTGATGAAATCTAAAGTTAGATGTCGATTATATGTATATTCTTTATGACCGTTTGTTTGAAATTACAATAGTAACCTAGTAATTATCGTTTCTCTTACCAGGGATATCAAAGATAGTGATGTAAATTTTTTCTGAGTAATTTGATGTAAATAAAGTCATGTTAGCAAAATGTAAAGAAAAGTTTGTTCTCTGGAATGTATGTGTATATGTGTAATTCATATTATAAATATAAATATTATGTTAAGTTAACTGGTTAGGATCTATTTCAATACACTTTAGTATGTGTTTATTTTCACTGTTTTTCCTTCCACTTCTAAATAATTACAGTAGACTATCGATGGGGAGTCATAGGCGTATATATATATATATTCATTTTTTCAAAGTCTAAGTTGACAATTTTGTATTTGTATTATTGTTGAAACTCATTTATTTATTTGTTTCATAGTATTAATATTATTGTGTTAAGTAAGCTAATTTAAACGCCCCTTTTAGGTGTGGCACATTTATTGGTTTACTTAGATAAACACTTCGCTCGATATATTGAAATATCATAGTCAATATATACATAACATTCACTTTCAATGTTTTGTAAATCTATTCAACTTTTTCAACTAAATGAGTAATATTATTTCTAATACATTCTCATTAGATTCTACCGTTATAAATGAGAATTGATTTGGAAAAAAATTTATTCTTCGTTCAGTTTATAAAATATATCTGTTCTGATAAAAATGGAATGTTGTCTTTTTAAGCAATAACATAAACACTATGTAGGATAATGTAGGGTAGTAATAAATAAATATTTCTCATGTATATATATCAATAAAGATGTTTATAGTGTAAGGTTGTTCACATAATAATAATAATAATAATAATAAAATATGGAACAGTTGTTTCACTGAATTTTATTAAAATAAAGCAATTATTTTCCTAAGAAAATGAATGATTTGACTATATTAACATGAAAAATGAAATGGGGCTAAAAGTTCAAATGTTTATTTTATTTATGACAGTGAAATATAACATTTTTAAAAAAAGAAGTTCTTCTAACGATTTCTATCTGTACTCCATATCAATGTCATAGTAATTAATTATAATAGTTGAGACTATGAGTCAGTTGAAGCTAGACTATCATGGAAAATCTGGAAGCACTGGACGACCGTTCCTTCCTAGTTTAGGACTCCTTCAGCCTTAATTATAGAATAACCCAATTCGATAAATGTGCATATAACCTTTTTTAGTCATATATTATTGTTTTTCTAAGTAAAGATGGATAGTGGATAGCAGTGGAATCCAGGACGCGCGTTTCGTCCTATTTGGGATTCGTCATTTGAATGTATCTGCATCTCAGTGTTGATGTTCACTCTGGGATTTGATACACGTACAGGTGGAGATTTTATTTTAGAGCTTAAGCGTTTGCGCGCGAGACCGTGCATTTTAGGTTCGAGTCCCGCGTGTGGGATCGTGGATGTGCGTGCACTGTTGAGGAGTTCCATACTGCGATGAAACGACTGTCTACTGCTTCCAGGTTTTCAATGGTGGTCTAGCTTGGATCGAATCATGAATACAACTGTTGAAGTTACTACAACCTCCACAAATCCCCATTCTGAAAATACTAACTTATTGAAATATGTGAATCAGTTCATTGTTCCTGATGTCAAAACTAGTAGATAATTTCATCATAAATTTATAGTAATCGAAGAAATGTCGAAATAGAAATAATTGCTGGTTAATCATGTCACTTGTTACTTGAATCTATCAGCAGTATGTTCTTTGAAGACTCGACTCTTGTTCAAGTGAAATCTCACAAAATCAGGATTATAATCAATTAATCGAGTTCTATTGGATTTATATTTTCAATATTCATTGACTCGTGAAGTGCATTGTTCAAATGATCACCATTTTAAATCATTCATGTTATTGCTAACACTTAAAATTGACTCTTCTAAAAATCACTTGATTCAAAAGCAGATACTCTTCAAAAAATCATACTTATTATCTCTGCAAATGTTTCATTTTAATTGCATTTTCCTCTGGTAACGATAATTAGTTTTTAAAAAAAAATCCAATTCGTTAGCTTTCTTTCTCTAAAATCTATTTTAAGAAAACTGAATAATAGTCCGGAATGTTTAAAATGTTTTGTTTGTTATATTTCGGTATATTATGTAACGAAGATGAACAGTTAAAACAAATTTGTTATCAGCTTGATAGATTTAGTTAGAGATAGAAATTATGAGTCGAAAATTCAAAATTTACCACCATGAATTGATGTGTTATAAACAAACGTATTGTTCATTATGATGATCATTTACATTTTACCAAATTGAAGAGTGTAGACTAGCGGTTAAAACACTTAAATTCAAACTAAATGTTATCAAGTTCAAATCTCTTGTAAATTGCATACATCAGTAATACAGTGATTGCTAACATTGATATTATATTCAGCTTTGTTCAACAGCCGTTACGAGATCCATCCGTTTCCAATCCTCAAATCAGGAATTACCACATCACGAAGGTCATAATAACATGGAGATGGGATAAGCTACTGTAATAAGTATTATGGTAACCCTAACATGTCATAATAACATTGGTATTGGTCATTTCTAACAGACTTTCTGGATATAACTCGGTCTGTACAATTGGATAATGTTACCATACTTAGGTCTAAGTATACAATCTTGTGCATGATTATCGAGCTGGAATAAGTAAAATAAATTAGAAAATGTGTTATAATTTTAGTTTGCCAAATTATATTTAAAGTAGTTTATTTCTTACGTGAATTTTAATCAGAAAATACGTTACCTTTTTCTCTATATGTAACATCGAGTAGTTAAAGCTAATCATCTTCACAATGTGTTTATTAAACGTCCTTCAATCGGATTCTCTCAACGGTGTTACAGTTACCATTTTGAAAACATAGTTTGATCTTAAATTTGTATCACCAGTGAAGTGCCGTGTTCAATTTATGTGTACAACATTACAGTTGTAGTATACATCAGTAGTTTGTTAAAGTTAACAACTACTTTATTACCAGTAATGATGATACATCCAAGTTCACACTTTCCAAGAACATTTTAAACGTTTTTTAATATCCCTGATTATTCCATATTTCTGTCAATAATTGTTGAGTGTTCTGATCATTTTTAAAATTTTCGATTTATGCTGTTGATCTCAAGAAAATATAATGCAAGAACTGACAGGAAGTTTTTGTCAACTGCTAAACTACATATTGCCTTTACAAGTTATTAATACTTCCCTGTCTTTAATCAAATCCAAAAATAAGCGTAGATGTGCCTAAATCTGTATTTTTAGTGATTACAAGCCAAATAGTTCGATAATTGAGGCACCGCTTTACGAAATCCACTTGTTTATTGTCATTGAATTATGCTGTAGTGTTCAGTAACTCTTCTTTTATTATACATTTAATTGACTTTCATTATTTCCATGTCTATAATTATTTTGTTATCTATAGGTAGTATGGTTAGAACAACAAGTTGCAAAGGTTCGAGTTAAACGAGATGTGCACATTCCAGTTAAAGATCCGAAATGGCCTCAGATGTGGTATTTAGTAAGTATTTTTGTGTGTGTGTTAATGAATGTTTAGCACTTTATTCAATAATCAATTGTGGATAAATTGTGTTTATCTTGTCTATATTCATGTTTTTTTCTTTTTTGCTTGGCTATTCATTTAATCGTTTGGCTTTTTCCGAGTTTAATATGTAATTCACTTCAACATTTCCTTATGACTGAGTGGTGTGATAACACATTTCTGTAATTTTCACTACGAGGTTAGTAAGAACTGATCCAGTCAAAGCTAAATACCACAATCAGAGTAACGTAAGCAGTCATATAGTGTTCATATGGATTATCTTGAGTCAACCCCTGGATTAATGATAGGGAGTGAAGTAGCTGAGCGTTTCGACGGCTTCATTTATCTTCTGAGTCTCATCAGTCCTGATGTTCTGGCGTCTGACGAAATCTCAGGATGAATTCGAAATGCTCAATTGACTTTTATCAACTTGCTTCATATGTGGCGTTGGTGAAATATCCGTCTGCCAACCAAAGGACGAGTTATATGCACAGTAGTTCTCCCTGTCCTATTTTATGACTGTGAAATATAGCCATTAAGAATAGAGGATATTCGTAGGTTACTAAAATTCAACCATAGGTGTCTTCGAAGTGTTGCTTATATATTTTTGGACCACCGAGTAAGCAATGCCAGTGTTACGAATAGGGTACTAGTTAAGGATGGGAATTTAATTGATGAAGTAGAAAATCTTCATCATTTGAGATGGCTGGGACATGTGTTAGGTATGCCCAACCACCACTATTCTGGGATTTCGCCTGACAATTTTGTTTCTCTGTACTAATGGGGTATAGAACTTTGAACTGATGTACATACATGCTAGGTTCTACGTTGTGGCTGATTGACTGACTGGAATAACTTAAACCATGGAAGCATTTTGAGTCATATCCAGTCTGTCTGAAAACAATTATTTCATAATGGCTGACAAGATGCTCCATTTAGGGTGATTCCTGACTACTGCTTATAACTTCATGATATGTCTCAACAATCATATCTTTGTACAAAAGAACTAGTTGATTTGTGTCTTAGATGACTTCTTATTTGTAGGAATCGCATTCCACTTAGAGTGAATTATTATTTCTGATGTATTAATTTTGTGATAATATTATAAGTAGTCTTCAGCTTTTCTCTAATTACTACCAAACGATTATTTAATATCCTCTTGACTGTGAACTGTAAATCAAATATCTCAATGTTTATTATATATTAATGTAGTGGGGATTTGTGGAATTTATATAATTTTCATAGTTTAACTACGTCGCCATTAAAAAACATGTTAGTCCTGGATTTCTATTCAATCAATATGTGACTCCTCAGGAGTGCATATCCACTACCCATATACAGGGGTCGAATCCGGGACCTTAGGTCTCTCACATGAATGCCTAACCTCTAGATCACTATGTCGCCATTCATCGAGGTACAGGTCTAAATTCCAACAACTTACGATATTGCACAACCCTTATTTTCTAACATTTTCTCAGTTAACGTCAATTCGTAATGAAAATAACACTCATCGTATAGTGTTTTATAACCATTGTAGTGTTGAATTTTCTGAGCTGGACCGTTTGATTGTAAGTTTTTCGTTATCGTTCTAAGTAAAACACTATCCAGTCTAGTTATAAGTTTCCTCGATCATTTTACTATAGACTTTGTATCTGATGGTCTGAATTCAATATTTCCTTGTTCATAGTGATTTATTGGTCAATGGAAGCTAATTTTTTGAATTTACGTATATTGTTTTCGAGAATATACACCAATTATTTTAAATTGATTGAATTTGTTTTTAAAATTTGATATTTTCCCAATTGGGTTATCATCATTAGATTTTTAATTTAAAGTACTTACTTTCAATACAAAATATTTCGTGTAACCGTTTTTTTCTACATTGAGATCCAACGAATTATCTTATTGTATATTGTTTTTTTTTAACACTAAAGTTACGGTATATAACTAACTTAGATTAAATCTGAATTTAACTTATTTAAAAAATATTGAAACTCGGTGTATCTTAATTGATGAGATATCCCCATTTTACTATATTAACGATTAAATGGAAAAGTTCTTTAGTTTGTGTGTATATATAGTAATCGTATTTGATATTCTTCTATATCTTTAATTGCTTCATTTTTACTAATGACTGATATTAATGCGGTTCAATTTTGGATAATTTTCATTTTTTTTTCAAACACCATAGTAACGATGAACTCCTCTGCCAAAACGCGTAAAATCTGAAAAAGCGTATGAATAAATTGACCAGAAATTTATATAATGTTTTTTTAAATTTCGTGCAAATACACGCATTATCCCATCACTTTTATTAGAATATGAAGACAGACGTTTCATTAAGTTTTCGAAGAGCTTAATTTTGTTGCATGTTCAAAACTGTATTTTCAAATTCTGCAAGGTCATTGGTCATTGGGTAACTATTTTCATCCTCGTATGAACATCTTTAGGAGAGCGCACTCACAATTCGGTCGTAGACTGAGTATAAGGTTATCTAGCCTTGCTCGGATCTAGATACCCTCAAACCACTGAGTGACAACTCAGTGGTTCAAATTTATAAATTAAATATTGAGTGACCCTCATTAATTGGGATCAGTAATAAATGTCTTACTCTGGGAGTGCTTTAACTCTACCGATCGAAACTTCCTAGCGACCACTTCAAAAATTATTAACGAAGTCAGTAACTAGTAAGTTAATGATTTTTATCAGGATGGGGAGTGTACTGAAATTGTTTAGTTTAAAGATAGTTTCACACTATGAATTAGTTATGAAGCTTCACAATAGTACGAAACAGCTATCCAAAGATTCCTGGTTTTCGATAATGCATCCAACAGTATTCAATGTTGTAACAAATATCTTAAGACTACATAATATTCACAAACTAACTATCCTAAACATAGAATTGTGTTTGAACACAGACTATTCATTTATGGATCATCTTTTCAACTTTTTTTTTACTGTTTCTCTTTTGTTTAACACATCTGCAAAAAATTGAAAAGTTTATGTTAAAAAAAAACTCGTTGAATTTCTGTTTTTCCTTTCCACTTTGTTCGTTCACTTCCAAATCATTGAAATTATTAGTTCATTCTTTAATAATAGAATTTTTTTCATTTGTATGTTTTATCTATTGTTGAAGGAAAACAAAACAGTTTGATAGTATCATGCTCATGTCAATCATTTAGCTTATCCTGATATTCTTTTTTGAAAAAAAGGTATTGTTTTTATAATACAGATAGCTTTATTTCTGCACGATTAGCTTATTATGTAAAAGGAAATTAAATAAATTGTTGATTTTATTTGTTTGTTTTAGTGTAATTCGTAAGAGAAATTATTCAGGTGAATAAATTTTATAGCTAAATATGGTAACTTGTTTTGTTTATTCTTAGTCATACAAAGTTTATAACATAACCCGTAAAAATGATTTAATCAAATGTTCACTTTGTTAGTATGCATCAAATCAGTTATCTTGAGGACTCTTCGCATTAAATTGAAATGAGTTGCTACTACATAGACGTGGTGGTTGGGCTTGCCTATCGTGATGAATTAGTCAGGCTATACTGGTTGGAACAACTGTCCCTCAAGGTTTACCATGCCAGGTAGGTAAGACTAAAAGCAACAAACTCAATGTACGAGGGCGAAGTCGTACTGTTGGCTGTACAGAGGTGTGACGGCAGTAAGGTGTTTCCTTCAGAGAAGCAGTATAACAGCGATGTTGCTTTCGCACAAGGAAGAGTGGAGTTAGAAGAGATCCACCGTAAATTTGCACCCCACCTTATCCCACGGATTTCCCTCTCCAGTGGTGAGGTGCTAACAAGTACGGAGCTAACATGAAGATTACTCACAAAAGGATCGTGTGTGCCCGGCCTCAATCAGTTGTTCCATGGGCACTGCGGTCACGCTCTCAGGGCACTAAGATCATCTCCTACTCAATCACCTTTTCAGGTACCTCCAGAAGAACCCTTCCACGGTGTGGGCAACCGGGAATTGATAACCGCCCTAATACCTCTATCAGTACTCAAGACTGAAATGAGTCGAAGAACTATTCAATAACTTGTTACATCAGTATTTCGAAGACTTTACAAACCGTGATCACTTTCGATTTATTACATGTCTTAATCGTTGTTTTACTATTGAACACCCTATCGTTTACTTTTTATGTAAAGGATACATTAGATTATGTATTTATGGAACCATTTCTCAATGTTATTTGTTTATATGAATTTTACTGTTAGATTTTCAAAGATGTCATCTCCTGCTCAGTAGGGGTTGTACGTTAAACATTCTACAGTTGAGCATATATCCCTTAATGAAAAACATACACGAACTCACGAGAAAAAATTTTTTTAAGCTTTGTATTTTGTTTCATTAGTCTAGCAATTATTCAATGTCTGGTTGCTGTTTTTGATAAATAATTTATGGTAATCTTTAGGGAATCCTAAATTTTGACAAATTGTTTTTTGGCTTTTTCTTTAATGATAAATAATTTTTACGCAGTTATTGTTTTTCATTTCAGTATTCTATAGTGTATCCATAAATATAATTCAATGAGTAGATATTTACATACATTTACATGTGTATGTGGAAGTTTCAAACCTTATAATTTATATTATGATTATTATTTTCCACTAGTTTTGATGTCGTTTCTCATTTCTGTACATTTGTTTTCCTTGGGATTTTTTCAGTCTTCTTGTTTTTCTTTAGAAATCTAACGGACAATAATCATACTACATTGTCTACATTTTTTTACTAGACAAACAAAATTGTTCGCAAACTTCATTTTTAAAAAGTATTTCTGAATTCATTACAAAAAAGAGGTGACTTTATGAATCGTTTCCATGCTGTTTCAGCTTATCAGTCATAAATCGAAATTAACATTGAGGTGCACTAATCTAAAAAGTTTGATTAAACTTTTTAAATGAAGAGCTGAAGTAAAGGATTGATGTTGATGACTTGACCTTAGATAATTGATGAAGCTAAAG